TTGTGAAGGCCTCGTGTGCCTGGTCTGCCTCTGCAAGCCCTTTGTTCCCTTGGGATCTTCTTGTCTTTCTCTTTTCTGGCTGACTGCTGAGGCAAGGTGGCAGGAGCGCCTTTATCAACCCTCTTCTGACGCCCACGGAGCCTCTCTGCACCGCCCCATCATCAGAGAAGGAAGGAAAGAAGCTGTCACAGAAAGAGGAACCTGGGCAGGAAGGAAGAGCATCTCTCTGCTCCTGGGGCCTCCCCAAAAGGAAAGCTTCAGAAAAACGATTTTTTCCTAGGATTGCTGCCTCCAGTCTCACAGAAGAAGCTTCCCCACTAGTTTGGGTTATTTGCCATCAAATCAATTGTGACTTACAACAACACTGTAAAGGCGAGAGCAAACATCCTGATCAGATATTGCAAATTCAGAGCCATAGTTTTCTTGATGGACACAATCCATCTGTAGCACTGTCTCCTTCTTTTCCTACTACCTTTTAAAATTAATTTTTAAACATACAGAAAGTTAAAAAAACACACACACACACAGAGAGACAATACCAAAGACTGCCAGAAAACACAATATTTTCTGTTGGTCACAGAGGTTCTGTTTGGAGAATTTGGCCCAATTTTATCATTGATGGGGTTCAGAATGCTCTTTGATTGTAGGTGACCTATGAATCCCAGCAACTACAACTCCCAAATGTCAAGGTCTATTTTCCCCAAACTTCACCAGTGTTCAAATTGGAGAATATTGAGTATTCATGCCAAGTTTGATCCAGATCCATAGTGCTCTTTGTATGTAGGTGAATTACAACTCCATAGCCCAAGGTCAGTGCCCAGCAAACCCTTCCAGTATTTTCTGTTGGTCATGGAGTTCTGTGTGCCAAGTTTGGTTCAATTCCTTTGTTGGTGGAGTTCAGAATGTCCTTTGATTGCAGGTGAACTATAAATCCCAGCAACAACAACTCCCAAATGACAAAATCAACCCCCCAACTCCACCAGTATTCAAATTTGAGAGCATCGGGTATTTGTGCCAAATTTGGTCCAGTGAATGAAAATACATCCTGCATATCAGATATTTACATTACGATTCATAACAGTAGCAAAATTAGTTATGGAGTAGCAACGAAAATAATTTTATGGTTGGAGGTCACCAAAACCCGAGGAACTGAAATAACATTCAGTTGCCTATTATAAGTCGTCAGGGAAGGCCTGGCTCCACAAAAAAGGTCTTAATTTGTGAACAAAAGGCCAAAAAGGAGGAGGTTGATTGCACCTCTCTAGGAAGGGAGTACCTAGAACACAATGATATTTAAGGTAATCATCACCCTAACATAAAACAAGCCAACACTAATAAATTCATTCTAAACATACAGTTACAGGCAGTCCTCAAACTGTGAACAAGATAGGTTCTGTAGGTTAATTCATAAGTTGAATTTGTATGAAAGTTGGAACAGGTACGTTTTTAAGTGCCACTCCAGCCAAATATCTTCTGAAGACAGACACAGACAGCAAAACAAACAGGGGTGTTAATCCTTCCCTGTGCTGAGGGAGGGAGGGAGGGAGATGCACTTAAAATGTAACTGTTCCAATTTATATGTAAATTTAACACACACTCACACACATATATGAGCTTTGGATAACATAAGAAAGGATTAATATTCCTGTGGTGTTTGTTTTCCTGTCTGTGCCCTTCTTCACTTTCTGTCCCTGCATCAATTGGATTGTTGTGGAAATAACCATTGGTGATAAAGCTTCAGTGGAGACACCTTTTCCCCATGGCAATAACTCTTCGGCTGAGTGAAGGAAGATAGATGCTTTTGAGCTGTGGTGTTGGAGGAAAGTTCTGAGAGTGCCTTGGACTGCAGAAGATCCAACCAGTCCATACTTCAGGAAATAAAGCCCAACTGCGCATTGGAGGGAAGGATAGTAGAGACAAAGATGAAGTACTTTGGCCACATCATGAGAAGAAAGGAAAGCTTAGAGAAGACAATGATGCTGGGGAAAATGGAAGGAAAAAGGAAGAGGGGCCGACCAAGGGCAAGATGGATGGGTGGCATCCTTGAAGTGACTGGCTTGACCTTGAAGGAGCTGGGGATAGTGATGGCCGACAGGGAGCTCTGGCGTGGGCTGGTCCATGAGGTCACGAAGAGTTGGAAGAGACTGAACAAATAAATAACAACAAATAACTCTTTTAGGAGTGGATTTCCCTTCCAAGGGGTAGATTTCTCTCACTTTCTGTTGTCTTTCCCCCATTCTTAAATATAAGCCACTGGTGTTGCTATATGAAGGTCCTCCATTGTGCATGTGGCAGGGCTCTGACTGCATTGTTGTAAGTAGTCTGTGGTTTGCTTTCCTCCCCACTTGCATGTTATGGACTCCACTTTGTGGCCCATTTCTTAAGGTTGGCTTTGTATCTCATGGTGCCAAAGTGCAGTCTGTTCAGCACCTTCCAAGTCACCCAGCCTTCTGTGTGCCCAGGGGAGAGAGTATTTCATTAGGTATCAGCCATGGCTTGAGGTTCCGAGATTTAGCCTGCCACTTTTGAACTCTTGCTTGCTGGATTGTTCCTGCAAGTATTTCTGTAGATCTTGGAAAACTATTTTTTTATTTAAGACATTGCTGTGCTGGCTGATATCCAAACAGGGGATGGGCCGGAGATGTCACTGCTTTTGTCCTTTTATTATTGGCTGCTACTTCCCGGCAAATGTCAGGTGGTGCAATGACGGCTAAATAGCATAATTTCTCCAGTGGTGAAGGACATAGACATCCTGTGATAATGCGGCATGCCTCATTAAGAGCCACATCCACTGTTTTAGCATGGTGAGATGTTTTCCACACTGGGCGTGCGTACTCAGCAGCAGAGTAGCAAAGCGCAAGGGCAGATGTATCTGTTTGTAATCCCCAGGTTGTGCCAGTCAGCTTTCGTATGATATTGTTTCTAGTACCCACTTTTTGCTTGATATTTAGGCAGTGCTTCTTCTAGGTCAGAGGTCAGAGCATGGTCCAAGGTAACTCCCAAGTATTTGGGTGTGCTGCGATGCTCCAATGGAATTCCTTCCCACATAATCATCAGAGCTCAAGATACTTGTCTGTTCTTAAGGTAAAAAGCACATGTCTGCATTTTAGATAGATTAGGAATCAGCTGGTTTTCCCTGTAATAGGCAGTAAGTGCACCTAAAGCTTCGGAGAGCTTCTGTTCAACCATTTCAAATCTCCCTGCTTGGGGGGTGATGGCACGATCATCAGCATAGATGAAACTCTCTGTCCCTTCTGGCCATTGTATTAGAAACTGTGTCCTCAACTACTCTTTCATCTTTAGGTACTGCTCCGGCAGGAAGGTAATAGTGCTCCATGCAGTCATGCCAGCCACATGACCTTGCATGTGTCTATGGACAACGCTGGCTCTTTGGTTAGAAATCAAGATGAGCACCACCCCACAGAATTGGGCACGACTAGACTTAATATCAGGGGAAAGCCTTTACCCTTACCTTTATTTTATCTAAGTCTGAAGTGACTTGAAGGCACACAACAACAGCATCAATCCTAATTAACTTGACTCTCGCATTAGGCTCACACTTCCCATTGGTAAGTTTATGTTGGTTAAAACTGTTCCTCACTTTAAATATTGCATTGTTGTTACATATTTTTTGCACTACAAATAAGATATGTACAGTGTGCAACTGTGCATAGGAATTAGTTCATGTTTTTTTCCAAACTATAGTCAGGTCTCCCAATTGTCTTAAGTACCGTGACCTGGCCTTCTTAAAATGTTTGAGGACCCCTGTTGCAGTGTGTCCTCAGGCCATTTCCAACTTGTGGCAACTCTAAGGAAACACTCTTGGTGGTTTCTTGGCAATGCATGTTTAGACAGGGTTTGGCTTCACTTTCCTTGGAGATGGATAAGATGTGACTTGCCCAAGGTTACCAGGTGGGTTTCCAAGGCTGAATGGGGATTTTAACCCTGATCTCCAGAATTGTGCCCAATGTTCAAATCACTACATTATCCTACTTCCTGTGGCTTTTTGTTTACACAATCTTATAGTCGTCCATTTAAGTGTGTGTCCATACCAGCAACTTTTTTCATTATTATGGCCCATGCCTTAAAACAAAGAACAACCTGAACAAAATAATTTTTGTATCATGTCAGAGGCAAATTGAGAATATACTGCAAGTTGCTTCTGGTGTGAGAGAATTTGCCATCTACAGAGACGCTGCCCAGGGCATGCCCAGATGTGTTACCATCCTGTGGGAGGCTTCTCTCATGTCTCCACATGGAAGCTGGGGCTGACAGACAGGAGCTCACCCCGGTGTCACAGATTCAAAGCACCAACCTACAGATCTTCAGGTCAGCAGTTCAGCCGGCACAAGGGTTTAACCCATTGTGCCACTGCGGCTCCTTACAAAACTGTCAGGATTAATTTAGGTATGTATGTGTTTTAAATGTGCTTCTATGTATTTCCAAGATGGATTCCACTGTGTATTAGAAATGCTGTGCAGAATGTTCATACCATGAGGCTGTGATTATGTAACCTTGAGAGAAGTAAGATAAGGTTTGCTCTTGCTGGGAACAGAAGGGAGTAACCAGTCTCAGCAAGAAGAGAAGAGATAAGCAGATGTGACGAGACTTTCGTTTTGACTAGTTCCTGAATTGTAGCTCGCTGTAGTAAGACGTGTCTATTGAGTGTGCTTAGTAAACTTAGTTTCTTTTGTAACTCAAAGCCTGCAGAGTCCTTATTTTGCAAAACAGTGTCTGCTGATCTAGCAATCCTTCTGCTGTGCACCGCCAAACTCTGACAGTTCAATTATGGGCCCAGTCCCTAACCCAACAGAACCAAGGAATTGCTATTGATCCAGATCAATTCACTCTGAAGGACACCATCCAGTTTTAAAATGACACAAAGGAATGAAGTAACCATCCAGTTTTATTATTTTGCAAGATTTATTGCTTGGTCTTCAAAAATTCCTTCAAGTACAGATGCAAACAACATTTGCAATCCTTTCAAAAAATAATGAAACAGAGCACACATCATAAATAAAATATCAATATAAATAAATAGATAGATAAATAAATAATCTTCGTAAAATATATACACCTTTTAGGAAAACCTTTGTTTGAAGGGAATACATAAAGCTTTTCAACAACATATTTGAAAGGTAGCATCGAAACACCTGGAATATCTCAGGTACTCTGATATCAGATTGCATATTTGATACGGCACCATCCAACAGGGAGAAAAATCTCCCTCAGTAAATTGGAAGAGTATCTTAAGACTCCTGTTTCTAGTGTCCCTGTCTTCTCTCATAGCATTCAGAAGCAGTTCTGTAAAATATTCTAGCTGGAATCCCATATGGTTCAGTGTAGAATAGCACTTTGAATGCAGAACTGCCGCACAGCCAGCTATTTGCCATTCACAGCAATTGCTACAGGGCCATCTCAGTGCCTGGCTATTCTTGCCTAGGGAGTCTGAGAAACGCTTGGCTGTGCTCTCATTGTAAAATGCAAAATGGTCACATCATCCACTGATGTCTCATTTTGCATCTGGGAACAGTGCCACAGCCAGATTAATCTCCTGTTCCAGTTTAGTGGCTCTGTAGTAAATCCAGGAGGGAATTTTGGTCACTGAAGTGAGAAGAAGGGAATACCACCCTCCACAATATTGAGAGACAAAATACATAGGCATAACGTACTTCACTTCTGGTTGCAATTTCCATTAACAGAGATAATCACATTGACATAGTCAAATGGTTACAGCAAATATACATAGTATATAGACAAATAATCTGAGGAAGGGTCCCGAAAGCTGGATCCAATGGAGCACAATTTCCCAATGGAAGGCAGCTTCAGAAATTCCTCTGTGATCCCAACTGGGATGCCTTCATTTTGAAGCCTCAGCTAAATCCTTGCACATACATGCATAGATATTGCATTGTGTGCACAGCACATTACGTTTTGCTTTCAGAACTGGGAGAAGTTACTTTTGGGAAATGTAGCTCAAAAGTAACTTCCCCAACTTTTGCATATTTGTAGCTGTGTAGCTCACAAACTATACATTCAAAATCATCTCAGCATTTCAACAGTTACTCTCATTGAATAAATAAATAAACAAATAAACAAATAGAAATAAATAAATAGGTTGTCATGATTCAGCACAAAAATAATACTAGGTTGCCACCCATCCCCTCAAAACTTCCACATACCATATGTCAGTTCACCGTTATGACCCAACGAGGCAGCATTTGGGGAGTGGGCACAAAAAAGAAGAGTAATGGGACCAGGTAGGAGGGGGGAAACCTTGAATGACTCCACAGAGGGCACTCAGTGCAAGAATTTCCTTACATGGCAATGACCCCAAAGTATATTTGTCCTTGTCGATCTAGGTCCAGATACTCCATAGCATTTGTTTTGGACCAAAGGCGATCACCTTTGTGCAGCTTGAAGACAGCCCCCTGATAAATGGATTCGAACCATATCTTGCCCTGGTGCGGGGGATCCCTCCCGTGCTGACAGGCAGTCTTCAGGGATTTCAGCAGCACCACCTCGGTGTTGAACTGGGCAGAGTGTGACGTGATCATGTGGCTGAGCAGCACGGGCTCCGCAGAGGTACAGCTGCCTTTGTGGAAGAGGAGCTGAGAGTAGACAAAATAGAGCCCTGTGGAGGGCACCACCAGGGCGTTCTCTGCCTTGTCCAGCTTCATGCCATTCTCCAACACTGAAGGTGCCACATCGGTGGTCCAGATCAATTGATTAGGATGGTGCAAGGAAGCTGTGAAGGTAGGAAGAGAGAGAAAACATCCAATTAGATTCTAGGAGACAGGCTTTGTTTTGTACTATAACTTCCAGTATCTCTGTCCCACCACAAAAGTTGCAGCCTAGAAAAGCTTTTGTTTAAATGGGCATTTTGCCTTTATCTTGAAACTTAATGGCCACATCTAGATGAAGCAGGCCACAACCTGCTTAATCTTGAAACTTAATGGCCACATCTAATTGAATGTATCCATACAGTGGGCAAGACACATTTTGTTGCCTCGAAAGCCAATGCCAATGCGATTTTGGCTTGCATACATAGGAGTCTAGTGTCTAGATCCAGAGAAGTCATGCTCCCACTCCATTCTGCCTTGGTCAGACCACACCTGGAATCACACTGTGCCCAATTCTGGGCACCACTATTGAAGAGAGATGTTATCAAGCTGGAATGTGTCCAAAGGAGGGCAACTCAAATGATCAAGGGTCTGGAGAACAAACCCTATGAGGAGCGGCTTAAAGAGCTGGGCATGTTTAAAGAGCTGGGCCTGAAGAAAAGATGGCTGATAGGAGACATGATGAGGGCCATGTATAAGGATGTGAGAGGAAGTAATAGGGAGGAGGGAGCAAGATTGTTTTCTGCTGCACTGGAGACTAGGATGCGAAATAATGGCTTCAAACTACAGAAAAGGAGATTCTGCGTGAACATGAGGGAGAACTTCCTAATGGTGAGAGCTGTTCAGCAGTGGAACTCTCTGCCCCGGAGTGTGGTGGAGGTTCCTTCTTTGGAGGCTTTGAAACAGAGGCTGGATGACATCTGTCGAGAGTGCTTTAAATGCAATTTTCCTGCTTCCTGGCAGGGGGTTGGACTGGATGGCCCATAAGGTCTCTTCCAACTCTATGATTCTATGAAATGTTAAACCTGTCTCTGAGTATATTTGACCAGAATGGCACCAGTTTTCCCACTATAGCCTCTAGGTTATGAGACACAGAACATATGTCATATACTACTCTTCATTGGTTCACCCATAGAAAATCAGGATAAGCATATCTAAGGAAGTAGAGATGATGCAGTCTATCTAATGCAATTTTTTGAATAAGTGCCCCAAATAACCTCAAGACATCAATAATGTATGTTGCTGGACTGTATTATTTTATGGGATGGCCCCTCAACTCAAAGTCATCCTTAACCCATCTGATGTCATTATTGCCTTTTCCAGTTCAACCCTACTGCAATCCTCTTCAATATTCCCTCTATCATTTCTTTGACTACAGTACCCATCACCCCAAATGGAATAACTACAGTCCTGGTTAAGTGATGATGGGGAATGTGCCCTGACGCCTCTGGAGGAACCCAGGTTGGGGAAGAATGTGCTATAGTGGTGCATATATATATATATATATATATATTGATCTCATCCCAAGAAGCTACAAAGTCTGGAAGCCACCTCCACGATCTATTTTCTGAAACGTCTACTCACCGATGGCATGGGCAGCTGGTTTCCCAGATACAAGGGCTTGCACTTTCATTGTTTCTGGTAGAATGTCTTCTGCAAAGATTGTAATAAGACAAATGGTCAGGGAACGTTGTCACAGACTCTTCTCTTTAAAGAATTTTCACAGAAGGCTCTAAATGAATTGTAATGCTAGAAACTCTTCAGTATTTTGATACTACAGGATACTGTTCAGAATCTGCTGTTGGCGCAATGGCTTAACCTCTTGTGCTGCTGAACTGCTGACTAGAAGGTTGGCAGTTCGAAGCCACGGGACAGGGTCGGCTCTTGCTTTTAGCCCTAGCTCCTGCCAACCTAGCAGTTTGAAAACATGCCAATCTGAGTAGATCAATAGGTACCACTTCAGCAGGAAAGTAATAAAGATGCCCATGAAGCCATACTGGCAAACATGACCAGGGGGCATCTACAGATAATGGGCTCCTCAGATTGGAAGTGGAAAAAGAGCACCTCCCTATGGCCAGAGTTGAGCACCACCTCGAGAAAGGGGAACCCTTTACATTTGTTTTGTGTAAGAGTTGGACATTTTCTAACTTTCACTATATTATCTCAAACTGGTAAACCCTAATGATGTAAACTTGCTTATACATTTATACAACTAGAACCTGCTTAGTGTCTTCGATTTTGCTAAGGCCAGTTATTGTCTCATATATTTAAGTCTAGGAAACAACATATGCTTTTCCCCCTATGGCCTCAGTGTTTAAAAACCATTTAACTTTTGCTTTGAAATGTCCCCTTTTCTCTGTTTCTTGCTGGAGAAAACATGAATAAGAAGCTCAGAAGTTTGCATGAACTGAAAAAGAAACTTACCAGAAAATGACTTTCTGTTCTCCTTAGAGTCCTGAAAATAGAAAAGGGAAGTGAGATAAGTATTGATAGACCATCATTATTAATAATAATGCTATTACTATCATCACCACTAAATATTATTAATAATAATATAATTATGGGTGCGGTGCCTAAAGACCTTGGCCTGCACTTAAAAACAATTGGTGCTGACAAAATTACCATCTGTCAGCTGCAAAAGGCCACCCTATTTGGATCTACATGCAAATACAAAAGCCAACAACAATACTTTGTTTATTGCCCCCCCCCCAACTCCCCAAGGGGACTTATTAATAATGCAATCATTATCACCATACCCATTAAAAAGGTATAGTGTTTGCAATGAACTGGAATAACAACTGTCTATCAAGGCAACCCTGTGATCTGAGATTAACAAAAGGGACACTGGGAAGATGTGAGAGTGCTTGAATCCCCATAATCCACAGTCCTACACTTTTAAGCAGGCAAAAGTTCGTATTCCTATGGCTACAGCAACAGATTAAACTTGAAAAGTCTCTTTGACAATGTGTACCCTCAATCAAGAATAGAAACAATTTATGGATTTTGGCTGCCAGGTCTGCTGGAGCCCCAAAAAGGAAACCCGCAGGCAGGAACAGGATGCAGATCTCGATTTCGGCCACATTGGTGCGATAGAACAAAGGAGTATCAATGGGAAGTGGATTGGACCTTGGACTAGGACCCTGGAGAGCAGCACTCGGCTCCCTGTCATCCATGGAAACTCATCCCAGTGGCTATTTTCAAAGAAATGCCTGTTCTAAAAGTCCTGGAGACTAGGACGCAGAACAATGATTTCAAACTACAGGAAAGGAGGTTCTACCTGAACATTAGGAAGAGCTTCCTAACTGTGATAGCTGTTCAGCAGTGGAACTCTCTGCCCTGGAGTGTGGTGGAGGCTCCTTCTTTGCATGGAGTACTGTTACCTTCTTGCTGAAGTGGTACTTATTCTACTCATATTGCATGTTTTCAAACTGCTAGGTTGGCAGGAGCTGAGCTAACAAAGGGAGCTCACCCCGTCCTACAAATTTGAACCGCTGACCTTCCTGTCAGCAAATTCTGCAGCTTAGCAGTTTAATCCGCTGCATCACAATGACCCCATGTTTTCCCAAAAGGCTTAATAAAATAGCTGTGTGGGGATTCTGGGACTTGTGGGTATTCTGGGACTTTCCAAGCTCTATTTATTATTATTACTCTATTATTATTACTCTATTTATTATTATTATTTGAAACACAACAAGATGAGTCCACAGCAGACAAGATCACTCTACTGGCTGTTGTATTGGATCACACGTCGGACACTTCTCAAGTGTCTAGGACTGTGTGATGTATCGCCAAATAATGTGTGCAGATCCCAGTAAGGTGGCTGTTTGCAGCTAGCAGATGGTAATTTTATCAGCGCCAATTGTGTTTAAGTGCAGGTCAAGGTCTTTAGGCACTGCACCCAGTGTGCCGATCACCACTGGGACCACTTTTACTGGCTTGTGCCAGAGTCTTTGTAATCTGATCTATAATAGTAGTTCATGACAGTTCCGTTCTGTGGCATTGAAAATTTCTGCCGCTTCTGTAGTTGTTTTGCTTCCAGTTGCCCTACAGGCCCACCCCCTAGTTGCTCAGCAGTGGGTCCTGGTTCCTGTAGCCTACTTGTCGACAGGTGCCCACTTGCTGTGGTCATTATTATCCTGGGTGACGACCGAGCCAGTATAGACTTCTTTAGAGTTTGGTTCACCGTATTTAAATAATAATAATAATAATAATAATAATTATTATTATTATTATTATTATTATTAATCTCTCTTCTCTCTCTTCTCATTTCTCATCTCTCTCACACACACACATATAGACACAATACCCATCCCTCTCTGTGTGCCCCATCATTACCTTCTGCCCGAAGAGGTTTCCATACTGGAGGAAGGCGAAGAGCCCAGTGGCCAAGGCCAGGAGCAGGAAGCTGGTGATAGTGAGGCACTTCCAAGGCCCCCTTTGGCTTTTGTGGGGTGACAGAGGTCGGTCCTGAGCCTCCTTCCCCGTCGGAAGGAGCCCTTTCTCCGGATCCTGGACCAGATGCTCAGAGCTCATGTCTGGAAGAGAAGAGGGAAGCCTCGAAGGAGAAGGAGGATGCAGCCCGACAATTGCGCTCCCCGTCAAGGAAAGGGATCCAAGCAGAAGACTGCGACGTTGCTAGTGCTGTTGTTGTCGGCTTGGCGAGGGCTTCTTGGTCTGCTTCTCCAAGCCCTTCCTTCCCTTGGACTTCTTGGCTCTCTCTTGGCTGGCTGGCTGATGGCTGAGAGGCGCCGGGAGCCTCTTTATAAGCCCAAACTTTCCTCGACGCCCACGGAGCCTCTCTCTGCACCGCCCCGTCGTCAGAGGAGGAAGGAAAAAGGCAGTCACAGAAAGAGGAACCTGGGCAGGAAGAGGGTGGAGAGAAACTCATCCTTCCTGGGAGCCCAGCCTCCAATCCCCACAGGGGAAGCTTCCATCTCCACTACCTGCAAACTGAGCATCCACTTCTTCCTTTTCCAAAAGGAGGCTTTCCATGTTTGATGTCATTTGTTTCTTTACCTGTGCCTTCCTTTGTTTCTTATGATGGCATGTTTGCTTCTTTGAATACAAAATTAAAATGGGAGAAGGGTTCTTGGTGATATTGTCCTGTGCTTTCAATTCTTTCCAACCCAGAAAGCCCAGTCAAGTGGTTTGCAGGCAAGAAACAATCAGGGCCAGCTAATCACCTCCCAACAAAAGATTCCCCCAAGCAGTAAGAAGCCAGACCTTGAAACAGCTAGGCCATTAAATGCTAATCAAGGTGGCCAATTGAAACATTCACACAGAGGTGGCCCTAGGTAATTTTCAACGGTACAAACAGTATTTTGGTGCCCCCCCCCCCAACCAATCACTGATATATTTTCTGTTCGTCGTGGGAGTTCTGTGTGCCATATTTGGTTCAATTCCATCTGGGGGGGCTTCAGCCCCCCCCCCCCCGAAATTCTCATGGTGGTTCGCGAAAAGGCCTTACTGGTGCATTATTTAAACTGTTATGTTTATTCATATCATGATCTTATCACCATACTCAATATATCCCATATGCATGGGGGTATTGGGGTAATGATACAAAAGGTTTGCTAGGCTAGACCCTCTTTCACTCAGACTCAGCCCCCCACCCCGAAACTCAGCCCCCCCCAAGCCCCCCCTTGAAAAAAATTCAGCCCCCCCCCAAAAATGTGAACACTGGTGGCGTTTGTGGAAAATAGACCTTGACATTGCTCTTTGATTGTAGGTGAACTATACATCCCAGTAACTACAACTCGCATATGTCAAGATCTATTTTCCCCCAAGAGCGCCTCAAGAGCGCCCCTGGGCAAAATCAAGTATACTGTAAATGCTTACTTTGCGTAATGGATTGAGCCGCCCCTGCATTCACACCTAGCTCTAACAGACAAGAGTTTTTTCTCCCACCCTGGACATTCCACAAATATATAAACCCCATTTTCCTAGTTTCCAACAGACCTCACAACCTCTGAGGATTTTATTTCATATCAAAACCATTGTATAAATTAGTCTAAAACTGATAAAAATAGAAAGGAGCACAGGCAGCTAAATATCTTTTGACCAAAAATGGTCAAAAGCAATGGCATTGTCTGTAGCCTCCAGCAATTCTTCCTCTGTACATGAGACAGGGCACAGTGGACAAGCATACCGATTTGAAGTTGTCTTTTCTGCTCCACAGTCAGACAAGGTGTGGGATTCTTTTAGGTAGTGCCATTTTGCCAGGTTGTCTTTTGATCTGCTCACTCCACTTCTGAGTCTGTTCAGGGACTTCCAAGTTGCCTATTCTTGGTTTACTCCCGGAGGAAGACCCTCGTGGGGGGCCATCCAGTTAGAATTTCCTGATTTAGCTGCCCAGAGGGATACTCTTGCTGTTGCTGGGGGGACACCAAGAGGAGTGGTAGTTCTCATAAAGCTTTTCCTTGATTTGAGTCTACTGGGAGGAGGCTGGTAGCCATGTAGGGACACGAAAAGAGCCTCCTCAAAGACTGAGTAAAGTTCCCCGGGCAACGTTTCTCATAAACAGCTAATCTTTCCAAATTCAAAACATTGCTTTTAAACAATTTAAATATTAATAATGAGAGAAAGGTTCTTGGTGATATTGTCCTGTGCTTTCAGTTCTTTCCAACCCAGAAAGTGGTTTCCAGGCAAGAAACAATCAGGGCCAGCTAATCACTTTCCAACAAAGAATCCCCTCAGTCAGGATTAAGCCAGGCTTTGAAGCTGCAAGGCTATTAATGCTAATCAAGGTGTCCAATTGCAACAACCACACTTGCCTCAAGCAGACAAGAGTTCTTTCTCCCACCCTGGACCTTCCACAGATATGTAAACCCCATTTTCCTAGTTTCCAACAGACCTCACAACCTCTAAGGATGCCTGCCATAGATGCAGGCAAGGCCGACAAAAGCAATACTGGAAGATACTGATTATTATAGTTTTAATTGGTTTTATATTATTTTTATTATGTAATATTAAATTTATTTAATTGATACGTATGTATGTACATTGTGGCATCTAATTGTTGCCAATCTGTACACTGTCATGAGTTGCTTTCAGGCTGAAAAGAGCAGGATAAAAATGCTGTAAATAAAATAAAAAAATAAATGTCAGGAGAGAATGCCTTTGGAATATGGCCATACAATGTGGAAGACTTACAACAATCCAGTGGTTGCAGCCTGAGGTGTCCCTGCTAGTATCTCTGTAGATCTTAGGAAGCTGTTTCTTGATTTAAGTAACTGGCACATTGGCATGCTGGCATATAAGCAATAATAAACCATAAAAATATTTTTCAAAGAAAAATAATTTCAACCTTTTGTTTCAAAGAAGAAACAAAACTTACAGAAAATGGAAAAATGTTTATTCTTGTATACTTCCAGATTATTTATATTTAAAAAGTTTTCTCCAACTTTTTACAATTGAAGAGTTTTTTTTACTGTGGGAGCCCCCTTATGTGGAACATGTTTCCATGGCACCATTTACAGTTTGTACCATATTGTAAACTAGCAATGGAGAATTTCTGGGATGCTCCCTTTCCATTGATGCTCTAAGCATTGGTCTATTTATCCCTCCCCAGAACTGTTTAAAAGGTGAGAGGAGGATTCAACATAAGCAGGTCAGTTGTTATAGTTTTTGCTTGCTCACAGGTGCCCTGCAGGTAACAAGGGAATGACTTTTTCTATCCTTTATCTTTCAAAGATCCTTAAAAAAGAAGACTCTTATACACTGAATGTGTATATAGAGCATTTCATGGCAAGGATGGCTTTGCTTTACCTCAGTAAGTATCAACTCATTCAGACCATTGTTGAATGGTGAGTCAACACAAGTGATTCAATGCCATGGGTGAAAGTGAAGAATTCCTTCTCAGCCATAGAAATTGGACAAGTCACCCTCTCTCACCTTTAGAGGAGTGGAAAAGCAAACCCTCTCTGAAGAAAGGAGGGTTGAAGGAACATGTACAGAGTGACCAAAATAGGACAAAAGCTGGAAACCAAGCTCTACAAGGAATGGCGGAGAGAGCTGGATATGTTTAACTTGGAGAAAAGAAGATCAAGAAGGGATACGAGAGCCATGTTTCATTATTTGAAAGGATGTCATACTGAGGAAGTGGCCACCTTGTTTTCAGCTGCTCCGGAGACTACGACACGGAGCAATAGATTCAAATGGCAGAAAAAGAGAGTCCACCTATTAGGAAGAACTTCCTGATGATAAGAGCTGTCCAACAACGGAATATACTGCCAAGGAGTGAGGTAGAGTGCTTTGGATCTCAATGCAGAGAGAAATGTGTTGTACAAATAACAACAACAATGGTTCCGGCCCAGCTTACCTGTCCAAACATATCTCTCATTATGAACCTTCTAGGAGCTTAAAATCAACTGGCATAAAATCTAGAGGCCCTTCTCTCGATCCCACCTTCTTCGCAGGCTTGCTTGGCAGGGACGAGGGACAGGGCCTTCTCAGTGGTGGCCCCTCGGCTGTGGAACTCCCTCCCAAGGGATATTAGATCAGCCCCCTCCCTCCTGATCTTTTGGAGGAAAGTAAAAACCTAGCTTTTTGAACAAGACTTTTGGAACACAGTGCTATAGACAATCTCGGATTTATATGGAACTGAATTGGAATGGCTCAGATGATGTTTTTTGGACAACGAGATGAACAGTGAAGGCATTGGTTTTATATGTTTTAATTGTTTTATTGTATGATTTTATTAATGGTTTAAATGTTTTATATTTTATAATTTATATGGGCACGGCATCAAATAGCTGCCTATGTTGCAAAGCCTCCTTGAGTCGCCTTTGAGCTTGAGAAAGGCAGGATAAAAATATCATAAATAAATAAATAAATATCTGGAGGATGGGTGGCTCTCTGTTGGAAATGCTTGGATTGTGTTTTCTAGGCATGTGCGATTAAAAAAAAAATGGTTCTAAACTGTGTTCAAAATTAGGGGCAAAAATTTGGCTAACCTATAACCAGTTATTAAAGGAAAATGAAGGAGGAAAGATGATATTGAAACCATATGAGGAAATACATAAATTGAACCCAAAAATGACATGGTTAAATTACTATCAAATTCGGGAGGGCTTCAAAAAAGATGAAAAATTAGGTTTTGAACAAAAAAGGGGAATATGGGATACGGTCATGGAAAAAAATAAAAAAAATGATTAAATTATTATACAAACAATTACAAATATGGAATATGGAAGTGGAACAAGTGAAAGAATGCCAAATTAAATGGGCTCAAGATTTAGGACATAATATCATGATAAGTCAATGGGAAGAAATTTGGACAACAAAAATAAAATATACTGTAGCCAGTGACATAAAAGAAAATTGGTTTAAAATGTTTTATCGCTGGCACTACACGCCAGAAAAAATAGCAAAATTTCAAAAAAAATCCCAATATATTTCAGACAAATGCTGGAGATGTGAAAAAGAAAATAGGCACTTTCTTTCACCAATGGTGGAAATGTAAAGAAATTAAAAAATTTTGGAAACAAATTCATCAGGCCTCACAAAAAATCTTAAAAGTTAATTTCCCATTAGCCCCAGAGACCTACCTATTAGGAATAACAAATGAAACCAAATTGAATAAAAATAAGGATAAAATCCTATTCCTACTTAGTACCGCAGCCAGAATAGTACTAGCCAGAAAATGGAAACAAAAAGAGACACCAACCCAAGAGGAGTGGATTATAAAAGCTTTTGACATCATACAAATGGATAATCTATCCCAAAGAATAAATGGAGTGACTAAAAAAACGGACTGGACTGGCTTTAAGGACTTTCTAAC